CTTTTGAAACCACTCACGACACGTTCTCTCACTCAAAGCAGTCTCACCATATGCTTCTACGAGCAATCGATGCGCCTCAGCAGCAGATTTCTTTATACTAAAGAAGTAAACTAATATTTCCCGCAAATGACGCTTATTTAGCTCAAATTTGGACATTTTCAACTAAAAAAAATTATATTTCACCAATATGAAATCAATAATATTAATAGGTTATGTTGTTCTTAAACGTCCAAACTAAATTTTAAGCAGGATATCATCTGCGAAAGTTAACGGAAACTCCGCGCCGCGCTATCTACATTAAAACGGCGGAAACTTATTTGTACATCTAATAATAAATAATTAAATATAAATAAAACTGGTTTGTGTGTACTTATGTACACATGTAATAAGTTATACTTCTTTTGCATAACAAAACATTTTTTTTGCAGCCCTAACTTATAACGTTCCGCGTTTGTTTGTGATGGATACTTTATTTTAAATACATTTTTGTAACGTTAGTAATAAGTATTACACTTTTCAGCATTAGGTTAAGAAATTTTTAAAACTGCAACAAAAATTCAAATGTATACTAACACTGGTCAAAAAGCTGCAAGAGATTATAGTCTTATAATATAATTATTGTTAAAAATAATTAATAAATTACCAAAATGCATTTTCATTTTTCAATTCTTTTGATAGAATAATAATGCACATGGTTTTTTCCCAGTGTGAATAAAAAGAAGACGATGTCTTTCAAAATATTTCATGCTATCAGTATTGTTGGCGTCTTATGTTTGTTGATAATAATGCGCTCTCTCTTCCAGTAAAATGATTGATCATCTATGCAGAGAGAATAAGTTTTCTAATGCTCTGAATAATTATTCTTCTAGAGAATTATAATATATTTTATGTTTCTTTAAGTAGCAAGATTTCCTTTTAACAAATTTATGTCTTGGTTATTCTTTGTAACTGCAGCTCCATTGTTTTCGAATAAAAATTCACATAGAATCTCTACAAGTAAGACTTTAGATAAAAGAAATCTTCATATTGTTAACCATTAAAAAATGAAATTTATATGCATAGATCTGATGCTGAAATGGAGTATTTTTCCTGGGTGTGCTACGGTCTTTGATTGGAATAATAAATGTAGAGCTGCATACTAAGATAAAACTATTTAGGAAAGTAGTTTATATTTTAATTTAATTCAGCACTAATCGGTGCACAATATTCTTGGTTAACCTGTCTCTAGCTAACACAAATACATTCGATGGTTTTCCAACACGTGAGCGGGCAACTTGTAGTTGCCCTTAAATCTCAAGTTAGATCAAACTACAAACACTGTGCAAAATTTGATTAAAATCAGTTCGGTAGCTTAGAAGTTTATCGCGGACAAACAACGTTACACGATATTTAAAATAAAAAAAACTGGTGTGTGTACTTATGTACGCACATAAGAAGTTATACTTCTTTAGCGTACCAAACGAATATATAACCTCAATAGCCTCAAGAATACCTTCAAAAATATAACTTCAAAAGAAAACAACATCAAAAAAAACTCTAACTATTTCGCGTGCTAATATAATACTTACTTTAAATTTGTCAATAAGACGATAAAATGACAAAATAAAATATAAAGATATTTAATACAATTGATAAAGGTTTATATATATAATTAATAAGTATAATTTATTTTATTTATTTATACGTGAGGAGAAAGAAAGGTTTATTTAAAATAAGAAATATCGCTTTATTCATCGGTTTCTTTGTAAATTCTTAGCTGATTGTCTAAAACGTGTCGTCGTAGGCGCCCAGTAAAAGAATACGACGAGTGTCTTTGTTAATAGACCCAGCCGAGCGTGCTTCGAATCAGTTTGAAGAGTGGGGAGGCGCGATAACAACATTTCGATATTCTCAATATTCTCAATATTCTCCAAATGATTGAGATGTGTATTTCGAATATACGCTAAGAATCTATAATCTTTTCAAATGGTACATAAATCGTTATCACGTTGAGTGCCACACGAAATCTGAAGAAAATCCTCGTCAGGCCACGCTCTTTATATAGTATTAAATAAATGTAAAATAAATGTAAATAACTTCAAAAAATAAAGACCAAACAAATAAAATAAATAATTAGCAATAATATTAGTTTTGAAAGTGACATTTAAATTATTTAAATTTGTACCGGTAATCACTGGCTGAGCCGATGGTTCGCAAAGTAAATTAAAAGTTGACGGAATACAAAAAATTTCATTCGCAGATATTTCATATCTTTGTGCAATCATTTTTCTTCGCAGTCTATAAACCTTACAACGTTCCGCATTAGTTTGCGTTTTGTTTTCCTTATTTTATTTATTCTTCTTCCTACGAAGACGATAGTCTTTACATTTCTCTGTACTAGTTTTAGGCATCTCGAAAACTTAAACAKAAATTTAAATTTATACTTATCCTTGTAAAAAGTATCAAAATATAGATGTCAGTCCACACTAAATATAAAAGAGTCATATCAAAATATTTCATGCGTCAACGGTTATTACTCGGTGACAGCACTAGTCCCTGCTCGATCATCTAGGTCAAGCAGAGCTTGAGTACGATTAGAACTTGGATTGGTGACCGCTTGAGAGGATAAATCAGGAAGAAGGAGAGAAGACTAAATATCGTAAATTGGAAATCGCTTTTACCCGCGCATCGTAAATATCGACAACCTCGTGGTGTCGATTTTTCGGTCACATCATAAAATTCACACTCAATACTTTTTTTCTAAATGCGGTAAAAGAAGTACATCTTCTAAAAGAGACTGCTGCACTTATTGAAAAGAAAGTGCAATTTTATAGTCTTTAAAATAAAGAAACACATTAAACATAATTAAATTACCTATTTTATATATTTATTGTTTGATGAATGTTTGAATTTACATTTCTCTTAGATTTCTTTGCGTTTATATTGAAATAACGACGTAGTTCTAGCATTGTATTAGTTTTAGTTGTTCTAGCAAGTAGTTGTGGGTAGAAAAAATGATATTTCTCCGGAATGATTAGAAAAAAACATAGCTTCTAGAAATCTTTCWTTTCTGCTTTAGAATTAGGAAACTTGAGTATGCTTTTATAGGCTAAAAAACTTCTCTACGTCTACTTATTCATTCATCAACGTTAACTATTGATTATTAACTGTTGTATAAACTATTGTAGTTTGATCAAAAATACAATTTATGAGGTCATCTTTCTGAAATCAAAAAGAATTTATTTTAGGCAAGTTTACCTTCTGACTGTTCCCGTGTATAGGAGGTATATATATAGTGCATGTTTTATATGTTTTTCATTAAGAAAAAACCCGACTCTAAAGATTTAAATTGAACAATTCTGTTGCGTATCCTACGCAACGAGTGAGTAGGGCGAAGCGCCGGGGCGTGTACGGCCATGCCAAGGCGTGAGACCGCGCGACAAAGCAGTATCTTTGTTTTTGGTAGTAACCACGGAAGCGCCAAGACCTTTGTAAGGGCTCCTTCTTTCTTCTAGCTCGCGCTCTCTCACTACATTTATTACGCAATTCATATGTATCGGCAGTCGCGTTATCATCGGACTGTTCGGTGATTGGTCCAGCATTGCATCGCGTTTTCGTATAAAGCATAGCGCATTCTTGCGCTTAGGGGCACTCGTCATTTGGGCACTCGGCATTCGACACGCAGCATTCATCATTCATCGATTATCAATCGTGATTCGTCACTCGTGATTGTTGAGACTTGCGAGAACTACTTCGAGGAGAATTATTTGTATTGCGCAATACTACATCATTTAAGTTCGGCCAGCGACAAGGAACAAAGGCGGTCCTGCATGTGGCTAAAATTATCCTGATTTGTACGGATTCTTCGTCAACGTTTCAATTAGGGTTTTTATGCCGAAAGGCTTTTCCCTGACGAGCCAAATAAAGCGTACTTGTTAGTACTGACTGGGCTCAAATATATTTGTTATTGTGTTTTATTTTCTTATCCTCCTTCCCATTAATAAACAATCTCGATATCACCCGTGAGGGAATCTTTCAATTCACTACAATCCACTGGAGTACCGATTAAGGCATCGGTCGCATCAACAACAAGTTCTTCCGTGCCACGTGCTATTACTTTTACTTTAACTATGTAATTCTTCTAACAGAGAGCGCTATACAGCTAATCGCTGTCCCTTATATAATAATCTTACATGGACTAGATAGGAGAAACTTACATGTGTGCGTCTCTCTCATGAACAGTAGTACACCAACACATGCTCTTGCGCTACAGCACATACATATAACCTTGCAATAGAAAATGTACACAACTCAACAAGTATTATATGGGCTTTTAGTTTTATTACATGTGTTGTCTATTTTTCCACTGAGAAAATTAGAACCGTAAGTTCTTAATAAACTTATAAATTTCTACTTTTTTAACGTAATATATAAACTTTTATACACATTATTTTTGTTTAGTGTTTTCGCCAACGTCCACGCGACATTCCATTGGTTAAATTAAATGTAGGAGGTGATATGTTAAATTGAAGGAATTCTTTAATTTAAAAACCTTAAAAAATTGTAAAAAAAAAATAATTATTTATTATACTAAATAATTAAAATCAAAGCAAAAGTATTTACGTAAAAAGTAACCGTTGATTTTATTTACGAATCCAATAAAAAGAATTATAAATGTTTATGCCTAACCAATTATTTGTCTATGCCAATTGTCATAAAATCTTATGAAATATTATCTTTAAACTGTCCGCTTAGTTTCAACAAAATCTTCATGTGAGAACTTATTTATTTTCAAGTCTGGAAACCTCTTTTTTCGGAACAAGTTTCTTTTATGTTATATTAAGTGCAAAAAGATGATCAGAATTTAAATATAAGGAATACATAYGATATTAAAAGTAAGTAAATATAATATGCTAATGTCTAATATATAATATATAATTAAAATCTTATGCAATATACACATATAAATGAAATGGCAGGACATAAATCAATATCGTAATATTGAAAAATTTAGATTTTTAGTCAGGGTTTTTGCTCCTGTTGTAGCAACAAAAAAACCACGGGTGTTTGTGCTAATGTTCGCACGTCAGAAGTTATACTTCTTTACCGTAATTAAGCAAAATAAAACTTCAATAACCTCAAAGATAACTTCCAAAAAAACTCAAATTATACCGCGCAATATAATGTACACTTGTAAAAAAAGACGGTACAATAATAAATATATCTTCTATCAATAGATTATATATCTATAACTATATATACCGTAAATGGAAATTTAATCCTAACGCTCAAAACAAAGTTGTAACAGTTTTTTTCAATTTTTAATAGAAGTCCAAATAAGTCAATGGTCAACATCGTTTTACGCATTGCAAAAAAGAAAAGTTAGTGTATACCATCTTACATCACCTTTTATCGACGTTCAATACTAATGTTAATATTATAAACGGGACAAACATGTTGCGCCACTTACCAGGAAAACTATACCGAAGTTTTCAGTCGTCCTTTGCGTAATAGACACAATATACTTTGATTGTATATATTCATTTTTTTCATTTGTTCCATGTAAATATCAACAGAGATTGTATCTTGTAAAAAATCATGACAAAAACTTGTCTCTTCTGTATGATAGGCTTTGAATTTTTCTGCTCTCTTTTAGCTAGACTCCAAAATTTTATACCCTCCTTTACGCAGTAAGCATAGTTAATTACTATTATATAATATATTTTAAATAAAATATATTAGTACACAAATTCATATAAAAAGTTGATTAAAACATATTTAATTCTCTAACATCATTTATTTGTCACATATGATTGCTAATTCACTATTGAAACTTGAAGTTCTATCGAATACAATAGCTGTTATAATTATTTAACTCTAATTTAAATTTTTATATACTTGCTACAAATTTTAAATTTGAGATATCGTCTCGCACGAATACAAAGATAACACGTCTTATTGTAAATAATTGTTTAAGGTATAAGGAAAACTACATCATGCTATTAACAAAAAATTAACTTATTTTATCTAAAAAAAAATGAATTATTAATTAATCTCTTTACTGCAATGTCTTGAAGACTTTGTCATTATAAAGATTGTAAGAAAGAAAATACAGAAGAAAAAAGTGAATATAATAGATAGTAAAAGATCCAAAAAATCAATGCACAAAAGAACCATTTCATTGTAAAATGAGCTATTGTAAGTCTAGAAAAAATAAAAAGAATGATAAAATATTAAATAGGTAAAAAATAATATTCGTGATAAAATAGAGATAATCAAAAATTTACCTTCTATTAAATGGTCTTGATTCTTCAACCGTCTTCATCAGGTCTTTTAGTAAAAAAACTCGAATTCCTTTTATGTAAGTATCAGAAAAACACTCTCGCCCAATCAATATCACAAACATTAAAAAAGAAATTATGTTTATCGACTACAAATAGCTTTTCCCATAATTTTACAACGTTCTCGTTTGTGAATTCCCATTCGTTATTTGTAAAGAAATTTATTACATATTTAAACTTTTCTATATTTCTGTAGATTTTAAGCAATCTGAAAAAATATACAATAAATTTAATAACGTTCTTTTTTATAGACGAATATTTAATCGCTTGATAATCTGAAATATTTTAAGATGTTACCTTGTCTTTCTTCCTGTGACATAAGCTAACGAGTCTGGTATAATTGCTGGTATCCAGTGCAAAATAATTGTCAGAAAAATATGAAAAGAATTGTTACAAGTAACCCAAATGGAGTAGTACCCTAAAACTTTTTTCGACGGAACATTAAACCCTTTTTTTTAGTTTAATTTTCTAGAAGAGCCCAAGTAATTGAATTTTGAACTGAGGAAATAACATTATAAATTAAAATCTTTTCGTTTACAGGCAAATATTTGTTTTTTCTGTTTGAGAGATTTATAATCTGTGGTATAGACCTGCAAAAAAAGTTCTTTCTCATTCACTGTAAATGGTATTTTAAAAGTTGAACTAACAGTACATTTGAGAGATTTTTCAAAAAAGAAGAAAAAATTGACTGTTTTTTTGCAATGTGGCAGCAATAATGTTGTTGGCAACATAGTCGGCAGAAATGATGTCGCAAATAAAGTTTTTATTACAATACATCGTATGTAAAACACCAGTCGCACTACCTACAGCAACACCTGTTATTCCATATAGATTGTTTATCCAACCGGCAATTGGTTCCTTTTCCGATGAGACAACAATACATGGCCGAGCGATTCAAGTAGGAATTCCATTTGAATATTGCCGTACAGTATCTTCACAGATTGCCTTTGARTATGCGTAAGTGTTGGGCCAGTTACCAAGTAACCTGTTAAATAAACGAATTTGCTCATCGACTTTGCTCTAAAAAAAAAAAGGTAATAGAATTCTTGTTTTATTACTTTGGAGTAATTCAATTTAATTGATTTTCGTTCAAAATCTCTGTCAATTTAATTATGTCTTCTGTCTTTATAGGTGGCTTATAGAATTTTTCTTCAATTTTATTATATACGCAGTTCAAATATGCCGTTGATACATAGACAARGGCCTAAAAAAAACATTTATTAAAAAATAGGAATAGTTTCTTTTTAAGTAAATCCAATGTTTAAATAATTAATTTGGAAAGCAGTACTTTCAAGCTTTTCATCTCCTGTGCAAGCAAGAAAAGATTCCCTGTTTCTCGAACATTCGTATTAACCATAAAACGAATATTATCCATAAAACGCACGGGTGTTGCACTGTGGAAAATCAAAGCGATATCTTTAATGCGTTCGCGTTTTTTCTCTGACATTCCTAAATTCAATTGACTCGTGTCTCCTTCTATCAGAATAATCTTTCTCTCGACATCTTTTTGCTCTCTCTTTAATCTATCAAAAATCTGAAAATTTAGTAGTAGTATAGGTAGTATAGGTAGTATAGGTGATATTTTTTATTGACATAATAATTAGTACAAATAACGTAACTTGACTTACAACATCATTAAAAAACTCTTTAAATTAAGTCTGCGGATCTTACTATTTTTTTGCTTTTATCAGCAAATAATTCGTTGTAATTTCGGGACAACAATTACATGTAGAAATGTATTTATAAAAACAGTTTTTTTTTCGAAAAATATATACTAACATATGAGTAGTTTTAGTAAATAAGTAATACAGAAAAAATAGTATAATAAGCGACGATGTTTATTAGTGACTCGGTAGATTATTGACCAAGGATAGCTAACCTGTGACCCGCGTGTCATCCATTAATTCACAGAGACCTCTGAATTCAATTACGCGTCGATTTTGATAAGCTGTATTTTTTAGAATTAGGAATAAGATTTTGTTATAGCTCTATACTTAATTACTGACCTACAAATATGAAGCYTTAAGCAATGTTAACCGAATTTGCCTAACGCATCTGAAAAGTTCGCTATTCCTGCTATAAGCATTTAAATTTTTATTACATTTTACTTGTATAAATTATATCTTTATAGGTACTCTATTTTATTCCTTACCTTCTTCTTGAAATTTGTAAGAAAAGCTTATTATATTAAAATAATAATAATAAATAATAAATGAAATCCTTATTTATTATAATATCTAAAAATCTGTAAAAATTATTAGGGATAGTTGCTATTATAAAGATAGAGTCTGCAGAATTTACAATATTTTTAACAATTACTTTAAAAATAATTGAGTATTTATAAAAAAAATTCCATGCTAATTAGATAAAAAGCTTGCATTGCTGTGCGGCAAAAGTTTAAAATTATGGTGTAGATTTTAAACTCAAGTAATACTCTTTTTTTTTTATTTCTAACTATAATAACCTCTAGAAAAATAAACATTCAAAAATACTCCAAATAAGGATCTGCCTTATATTTTACATAGTATAAAAATTTGTTAAAAATTTATAAATAAAATCTTATAAGGAATGTATAAGTTAAATCAAGAACAAAACCATATATGAAACATTTGTACCTCAAAAGTTTTTCTATTATAAGCCTTCCTAAAAATCCTAAACCCCCTGTTACGAGAACTTTTTTTCCAGAATAGAATGTAGCAATTTCACCTCGTTGATTATAATAATTTGGTTCTTCTTCCATAGACAAAAGTTCCTCTTGATTCGTTTGACCGGTTAATGACGCCATTTTTAAGATTGTATTATAATAACACCAAAATATTATATGCAAACAACGTAAGCAATTTCAATAAATATTATAAAGGAATGCCGGGCAAATTTTAAAAATCAATAAATATGTATAACTGATAAAAATGGAAGCATCTGATAATGATTGAGGTCATAGTTGTTCGTTTTCCGATAACTGGAAAATTTCGTTTTAATAAATTTAAAAATAATCTATTATAATGATAAACGTAAATGAAATAAGTATATTTATTCTTAAAATATATTTATTTTGTATAGCTTAAAATCTTCTAAAAAATTACGTATWGGAAGGAACATTTATTTAAATATTTCTTATGACTGAAGTTACTTTCATAATCAATGCAATAAAATTCTATGAAGAACTACGTATGTTGGTAAATGATTTAAAAGGATTTTAACAAGCTAAGTATCAAAAACGCATACTCAATAAAAAAACCGTTGATTTTATTCTAAGAAACTTTATTCAACTATTGTTGTATATCAGCACCTAAACATACAGCAACAAACATAGATGGATGTATTTAGACAGAAATTATTTCTTGGCTAGACTGAAGAAGGTAATCCTTTACCTGTCGGGGCCTGGGTTTAGTAGCTGCCAGGGCTCTGAGTTTAGATAATTTAAGATTTATAAATAACTGATAAAATTAATTTTCAGCGCCAATTAAGTTTTCTTTTACAAGTGTAATATTTATATTATCCAATCTGTGCAGTTCCGACTAGCAGAAAAAGAATGAGACAAACACAGGCGACAGGTGCCGTCGTTAGGTGACCCGAAATATTGCGAAATTTCAATGCAGAAAAATTAATAAAGACTGAAGGAGGTAACTTACATGACTGGTGCAGAAAACACTGATCACTGATTTTACAATAAACTAGTTTTTTATAACAAAATAAAAAAATTTCTACTCTCGGTGGAGCTTATAGTAGTCAGTCAAATGTARTTCAAGAATAAATAATATAAGAGAATAATAATATAAGAGTAATAAATGATGTAATGAAGAATAATTAATTGGAATACATGTAATTATTAATATTAATAAAGATAATAAAGCAGTTACAGTTATACATTAAATTGGAATATAATACAAGAAACAAATAAAAAACTCAAATCAAGAATATTATATCACATCAGATATAGAGTGTAATGTAAGAGAATCTAATATCTAAAACTGACGATATCGCTTCTAACAATGAAAAAAATTGTACAAGTTAACAACTTACAGTTCGTAAAGAATTTCAAATAGTCCGAGCTATTAGACGGCTGGCAGAAGAATGCCGGCAAACTTTTTCTCCATGACACAGAGGTTTTCCATTATGGCAACAACGCCTGACATTGCCATCGTAATCGACGAATCACTGGATATTATTTGCTTATTTCAATAATATTAGCATTTCCTAACCGTCGATTTGCAAATTCGTAATTATCTAGGGGCATGTGACGTCGAGGAGCGTCTTCTGGCAGACTTTTTTATTACGATATATATAAGAAATCCCACACGTATACAATGTACAGAATTTGTATTATTAATTTTCATGCAATACAATAGAAAACTACATTGTAATCATGAAAAAATATTCATTTAGAATATTACTAAAAAATATTTAGTTGGCAAGAAAGTAATTGACGATTTTGATTATAGATTTCTCACTCCCATTTTTATAATACTCGTTAATGTTATGATTTTCTTTTCATTATATACGTTATCTGTAATCCTTACTTAGCGTTATAAAATCATTGCGTAGATATTATCTGAATGTTCTTTCTTTATATCAATATTAATATGGAGTGCAAAAATGAACATTTTCGCAATATCTTGCTTTATTATTTCCGTAAAGGAAAGAACTCAAAGCAAGCCGCAAAAAAGATACGTGATGTATATGGTGATGAGACCCTTAAAGAAAGGTAATGCCGTAATTGGTTTAAAAAATTCCGTTCTGGAGATTTTCTCTTAAAGATGACAAACGTTCAGGTCACCCAGTTAAGCCAAATGAGGATGAAATTTAAACCATCATCGATTCCGATCGTCACATAACTACACGGGAGATTGCAGAGAAGGTAAATGTTTCACATACAACCATTGAGAATCATTTAAAACGTGTTGGGATCGTTAAGAAGCTGGATACTTGGGTTTCGCACGATTTGAAAGAAATTCATCTGACACAGCGTATCAACGTTTGCGATTTATTGCTTAATTGCAATGAATTCGATCCGTTTTTAAAACGAATCATCACTAAAGACGAAAAGTGAATTGTATACAACAATGTCAATCGAAAACGATCGTGGTACACGCCTAATGAGTCATCGCAAACCACTTTAAAGGCAAATATCCAAAAAAAGAAGATTTTTTTGTCAATTTGGTGGGATGGGAAAAGTCCGGTGTGTTTTGAGCTGCTTCCAAGGTACTAAACTATTAATTCGGAAGTCTACTGTCAGCAACTGGACAAATTAAATGCAGCAGTCAAGGAAAAGCGACCAGAATTTGTCACTTGTAAAGGTTTCATTTTCTACCAGGACAAAGCTAGGCCGCAAATATCTTTGGTCATTCGAAAAAAATTGATGGATATTGATTGGAAATTAATGTTAAACCCACCATATAGCCCTGATCTTGCACCATCGGATTACCACTTATTTTGATCTGTGGTGGATTATCAGGAAAGATATAAATAGATATATATTGTTATTTGTTACTATATTAAAGAATAATATATTTTTATATTAAAAAAAAATAAAATAAATAAAATGTTACCTATAATTCAAGTAATAAATCTTCCTTTATTTGCGCAAGATGGTAAAAAATTTATTGCTT